CTCTTTCCTGCCTATGCAGGGGGTTGGACTCGATGATCTATTGAGGTCCCTTCAGACCCTAACATCTATGAATCTATGAATCTCTGGTCTAGTTAATAAGACACTGGCCTGGGAACCAGAAGAGCCAAGTTCTATTCTCTGTCATGCCACAAACCTGCTATACAAACTTGGGCTAATCCATCTACCTCTGTCCCCATGCCATACTTTGCCTTACCTAACCTATTTAGACCACCTCCTCAAGACGAGGCCGTTTTTTTACCATATTTATGTACAATGCCTAGTGCAATGTGGCCCTAATTATTGCTGAGGCTTCTAGAAGGTAGTATAACAAAAAATTAAGTCCAAGTAGTGTCTCATTATAAGATCAAGCCCTTATTTGCATATTATTACTTTGGATTTATACAGGCTTGTCTTATTTAGACCAATATATAAGTAATAAATAAGATCCATTCATGTGCTGCAGCCTCCTCTGAACAAAAACAACTTTTTACTACCATAACTTATGTTGGGTAATTATGTCAGCTATAACTACATAATTTTGAAATAAACATCAATACCAAAGATAAAACCCTCTTCTCCTATAGACAATAATTAGAACCAGGTCAAACATACATAATGAAACCTGGAAGGTAAAAGACCACTGGATTTTAGAAGAAGTTTCTAAAATGTTGACGTATTTGAGTACTGGTTTCCAATGGAATCCAGACAGAACTCAGTGGTTTTCCATGGTTCTTATCTAGATCCAAACATTTATCCCAGTTTAAGACAATTTACAGGTGAGGAAGGTCATTTTAAACCAAAAATTCAAAGCAAAATCCATGCGACCCATAAACCAAGAAAGAGTCTCATGCTAGAGACTGAGAGCTGCACAGTTTTGTTGTTGTACTTTCCACTTGAAACAGAGCACTTCCAATGACCCAAGTATCCCCCGATTCCCTGCTAAACTCTGATTCTGAACTAACTCAAAAGGAAATACAAGAAACTGAAGCACTACCACTGCATCTGCTTCTACAGCCCAAACCCTCCCATCTAAGAGAATCAAGGCTCATAAAACTTATTAAATATTTCTAGGCTGTGGCAAAATCCATGGAAATCTTATTTCCTTCCAAAGAAAACATCAGCGCTGTTGCAAAACAGTCCCGGTGGAAAAGTGCGACTTGAAAACACCTTAAGACACAGCACCGGAGACCAATAAATTTACACCAGCAAACAAATCTGATCTGGCAGGAAATTTTATGAAGCACTACAAAAACAGCCCACATCATTCAAGAGCAACCTCACCAAAGGACTTGTATTGACCATTTCCAAGACATTTTTTTTTGTTATGGTAGTTCAATGGACAGCAGTTATGAGACAGGGTAGGTGTTCAAGAAGTGAAGGATTAGAATAAGAGAAAAAAAAAGAGAGTATGCTCCATCAAATATGCAGAAGAGCCCTGGAAAATAAAGAAAAATCCCACTTCCTGTCTTATAGTGTTGACTGCTATTCCAAAGAGCTCTTACTTGGGCCGCTATACTTTTGCAACAGCTGAAGTGGTCCTCATGTATAATTTATGTAACAACTTAAGTTTGTAAAGCACTTTGGGATCCTTGGGAATTAAAGACAACCTCTCATCATACCTCAACATTTTTTTACACAATACAGCCAAATCAGCCTCAGCTTTATTTCCATCCCACACAGTTTTCTGTGGAGAGTAAAAAAGAGGTGTTTGTTTTAAAGCAGGCTTCTAGTTCTTCTGGTTATGAAGTGAGCCTTGAAAATATAAATCATTCATAGGAGTGGAAAGTTTACATAGAGGGTTTTTTTCCTCCACTAAAATCATGAGCTACCTGTAATCCTCATCAACAATCTCCAAAGGCTAGCCTGCAGGGCCTGGGAAACCAACCAAGACAGCTCCCTTGAATTCCTTTCTGGGTTGGTAAAGTTATTTGGGAGCCCAAATACATGCTCACTGAACCATTCTCCAAATCCATATGCTAATCCTATGCATAGGAGTGTGATGACAACAGAAATGATTGTTAATTTGGGAGAAGCCTGCCAAGAAAGTTGTTTTGAAGACTTACCCAAAATGGTAATGCTTGTTCTGTTCTGGAAGTGCAACGTGCACACTCACAGCTGTGTCTTCCTCTTTCCTCACTTCCATTCTCATGTTTCTATACCCATCTGTTGCTTCATTCTTCTATAGTACTACCAACTCCAAAAGTTCAATCATGTCAGAACTCCCCCACAAAATCATGACATCTGCCTCAAAATCATAGGTTTAGAGCAGGGGCAATTATTTTGGGCAGAGAGCCGCTTACTGAGTTTTGGCAATCCATTGAGGGCTGCATGACAGGCAGCCAGGGGTAGATAAATATGAATTTTCTAAATTTTTTAGGGGCCCTGCGGGCCGGATAGAATGGCCTGGCAGGCCGCATCTTGCCCACCCCTGGTTTAAAGTCTGTCCTATGAGTTCTCATTCCCTGCTATAGTGCATCTGTGGTACATTACTCCAAACTGCTAAGTGTATAAAGCTGTGACCTTAATTATGTCAGGGCTAGTGCACACCCACATGAAATATTCTAGGGTTTTAAAAAAGAAAACTGAAAAAAAAATGAAAACTCCATCCTGTACCACTGTTTTGGCACCCACCTGGGTCACTACCAGACCTGGAATCCTCCCCGCACAGTTCTCTGAATAGCAAAATGAACCTTTATCCTCCCTCTAATTCTGGTCACAAAGTATTTTGCCAATAGGTTTGACAGGATTTGCCGACAACAAAAGAAATAGTGAGGCTCTGTGCTTCAGTAGGCACAGACTCTTCTACCCTCTCCAACATGCATGACCCATTCTGTCATGTCCAACACGTTCCCTATTTGCATTCTCATCACCTCGTCTGTCCACATGTCACACAGATGCAGCTCTTGCTCCCCATATATCTGAATCAGAAAGACTTCTGCTTGCTGCTTGGGTGCTGGCAAGGGACATGTGACTGAATAATGGTAGTGTAACTAGGCCATGACAAGCAGGCCACCAACCCCAAGCACTGATTTAGAGGGGGCACCAGCAACACGCTGCAGCACTCTGCACCTGAAAACTGCATCTTATAAAGGGAAGCGTCAGGCGGCCTTAATCCTAGGCTGCGTAACCCATCGCACCTGTAGCTTGCAGTATTAACAAGAATAATTTAGTTAAAAATCCCAAGAGTAAGATATTTGGCATCAAGACTGACATTGCTACTAAGCTCATTTTTAGTGTTCCAGGTATTAGGTTGGCAGCATGAAAGTTTGAGTCAACAAAAAGAAATACTGTTTACCCTCTGCACAACTTTCAGATGAGATCATTAAAAAGGCCTGGGCTCTTCTGCACAGACACTTCCTGAGCATAGTGATCTGCACCAGTACCTTTGACAAAAATATCCCTTTCAGCAAGCACCAGACAGCAGGTTTAGTGTTAACTGCTGCATATTACTCTAGGGAATGCTGCAGTCTGTACTGGTCTGCATATGTGTACCACACACCCTTACACAGAAGCCAGGGATAAGACAACCCTTCCTATTCCTACATCTCTTTAAAAAATGTTGACCTATACAGGGTTCAAATTACACCGACTCTTGTGGCAGGGTCTGCAAAAAAAAAAAAAGAAACTAGTGCATTGATTAACAAGTCCACCTAAGTAAAGGCGCAACCTAATCGGAGACCCCCTCCCCCAGGTTATGATTTTCAAATCTTACTGGGGGGGCATTCATCTTATGGGGGGGGTGGGTCAACCCCCAAGCTCCCCCTTAGTTTGCACCTGGACCTAAACGGTTATAAGATAAGTGGTTTTTGCATCACTGTATGGCAGTGACAAGAACTAGAAAGCAAAAGGAATCTAATGGGCCAGGGGCTGGTCAAAAGAAACCGCATGTGCTGCACTGAAGATCTATATGCTTCCTGGACCAAGGCAGTCGATTCAGTCACACACTTAGGGCATGGCATATATAACAACCAGCACAAAGTCCGTGTGAAGCTGGGCATGGAGGAAAAAAAAACTAAGGTCCACAGGCAGTGCTGTAGCAAGGAGGGGAGGGGGGCACTTAATCAAATGGAAGGAAGGTTATGTAATAGCATATAGGGGCCCTCTGCACATGACCCAAAAAACCTGGCTACAACTGTTATCCGCAGGCATGTAAAGGTCTTGTATTCCACATACTATAGGAGTATCTGCTCTTTAAGCCAAAAAGCGGTCAGTTCAGGGCTTCGCAAATCTTTCCACCTTTTACCTCATAGATACTGACTCTCCCACGTGCAATCAGTCATCATCTTTTAGACAACAACTGCTTAATGGGATATTAGCAAGGGAGTTGATTATTTTTTGGCATCTTTTAATTAAATGTAGCAGCTGGAAACAAGGCAAGACAGCACTATGTAACCAGTCAATATTGCACTAAACACCAGCAAGCACGGGAAGATGGCAGGAAATCCCCAAGGCATGGAAGGCGCTTAGCTTACAGAATAGTGAAGTACGACACTCTCTAGTTCCAGCTGGGGGGACTTGTTAGACACCACCTAGACAGAGATGCTAGGTCTACAGTAGTACAGGTTTACTGGCATTTCTGGTAATCCCTAAATCTTCATAATCTAATTGACAAAACTACTTTTGCAGATCTAGTTCATACCAGGTGGGAGATCAAAATAAACTAGCTTGACAAATGTTCTTTTATGCTGGTATATCTGCAGCTACGCTAGGGCTTTGGGCAGTGTGGAAACATCACCACTTTTTTTTTTTTAATTCCTAAATTACAGAGCCCCTGTTGCTATGACAATGCTATAGCTGTGTTCAAAGAGCCTCTTCCTGGAGATGTGGCATATGCAGCAAAAGTGTGTGCATGTGTGGGGGGAGGGGGGGGGGTCTGCCAAATTAACTACACCACTGCCCCCAAATGACATTAGCTAAACTGGTGGACGTTCAGCTCCTGTCAGGATACCTGCACAGGCTAAGGGGGCGTAACTTGAACCTGACGAAGCTTGGAAAATCGAATGGGATTCACAGGAGGTCCCAAATAAACATCTTGTGACAGATCCAACGCAGAAGGTCCCTGGCTTTGATCTCCCGTGACACTCATGGGCAACTCTAGTCTGTATCTGCACAAACCATGGGAGACGATGCACAAATGGAAACTTAAAAACTCTTCGGTGTGCGACGTGGTCACCCAGAACAGACCATGGAACACGTAATGACTTAATTGCCGGGTGCATAAATATGAAAGAGGTATTGCATCGATACAGCCTGCTGTTCCTGACGCAACTGTCTGGCTCAACCACCTAAATGTAAAAGTATAGTGTCTACATCAGCCATACAAAAGAAGGGGATGTGGGACCTTCTCACATGCAACATATCTAACCAGCTATAAAACTAGTGTAGATCAGGCCATCACATGCAATCTTCTGACCTGCTTTGCAATATTTCAGAAGAAAGTTGCTATATCTATATAAACACAAGATACCCTTGTCCCTTCTTGCACCTCCCCTGGAAGTTGGAGAGGATTGTGAATTATTTTACACGGCCCATGACAGCCCACAGTGACTCAGGAACTTAAGGCTGTGGTCTTAAAAAGAAGATATTAATTGGGGTTATTATTTAGGAGCAACAGGATGGGATACTTAATACTCTATAACACAAAAATAGTTCCTATCCCAAGTCTGTGGCTAGGTTTTCACTGCAAAAAGGGTACAGGGGCTGGGTTTGGTTTTGTTTGGGGGGTGGGGGGTGTTAAACTGAGATTACATCAGTATAAAAACCTACTAGACAGGCATTTTTCCTTGATGCAGCAAGTTGAGATAAACCTCAGGTGGGGAGATAAGGTCAGCAATATCATGGATGACCAGTGCTTCCCAAGTTGGGGGGAGGCCAATTGCTGACAGGGTGCACTTCCAGTTTTGTGGCTGGTGCTTCCAGGGGGTGCACGACCAATCTAAGGGGGTGCACCTGTGTGCACCCCCTGTGTGTCACCAATGAGCGATAGTTTCTGGAAGGGACCTTACAGATCATTGGTTCCAGTCCCCCTGCACTTGGGCACGAAAGACTGGGATCAAATGACCCCAGCAAGATGGGTGTCAAGACACTTTTCTAAGATCGCCAGGGTGGATGACTGTACCGACTCTGGGGGAAGCCTGTTGCAAACCCTCAGCACTCGACTCGTAAAGAAGTTTTTCCTATGTGAAGCCTGAAGCGATCCTCAATCAGCTTATGCCCATCACAGGCAGTCCTCGACTTAAGACGTTTTGAGTTGCAACGAACGGCACTTTCGACATTTATAAATTGACACCCTGCTTCGACTTTCTGACGTCAGCGTTGACTTTACAACGCTTGATCCAATGCGACACCACGCCAGCGAACATGTTCGCTGCGTCGCCCATCTCCCTGGAGAACATCTGTCCAAACTTCCTTGGACACTTCCTTTAAGAAAGCAGACAACACTCCAGAAAAACCTGCAGCCAAGACTCCTGCGAAGACGCCAGCCAAGAGCCGTTCAAAAAGTCCAGCCAAGTCACCTCAAAGAAGTCCTTCCAAATCAATATGATTGCTATTTACAATACATTAATATCGTTACATTACTCCTCTATAATTGAGTACAAAAGTCTGGGTTATTTTTGGTGAAAATAGGGTATAGGGCTCAGAAACCAATCCCCTATTTATAACATTGTTTCCGATGGGAAACTCAGTTGTGAGTTACAACGTTTCGACTTAAGACAGGACTGGTTCTTGAAAAACACCTCTCAAGTCAAGAGGACTGCCTGTATTTCTTGTCCTCCCCTGGGCGGGGGCTGACCTAGGCCCTTGACATGATTATCTGGGTCTTTTCTTCTCCAGACTGAAGCGTCCCCAGCCTCGCACGCCACAACAGAAAACAAAACACAAAACAAAGCCCCTGCGCACACACAAGCCCTTCCTCGCTCCCCTCTTCCCTGCAGGCTCAGCCCGGCTCCTTGCTCCCGGGCGAGCAGCACCGGGGCGGCCCAGGGACGTGGCTGCAGGTGCGGGCGGTAGGCCCCCGGCAGGCAGCGGAGGGCCGGGGCAGGGAAGGGCGAGGGCAGCGCGGGCGGGGGTGTTTCTGCCTCG